ACATCGTACTATCCATGTGCCCTCACAAGCAAGATCGACGAAACAAGATCAACGAAGCAATAACTCCTCAGGTGAGGCGAATCGATTAGCGAACCATTATCTGTCAAGTACACGTGGTTGAACATTCTGCTCGCGGACGAAGCGCAATTGAGCGGTTTGACTAACGCAAACCACCCAGCTTGCCACATAGAAACTTTCCCTTGGCACACGACCCTCGCAGTATACGAGAGCACAGCAGAAAGATGTGCACCACAATACTGGGACTAGCTGTGATGCACAACTTTCCATCAAAAACTAATCATACCAATATGCTTCATACTATATTCATATTAAAAACGTATTAAGTAGCCAACCTTGGGTTCGACTGATGCTTTTGAACAGATGCACATACCCTCTGGGCCGGATCTTCGGTCATCGAAGTACCGCGCTCTTCGTGAGGCACAGGGCACTTTCCAGCTAGAGAACTAGCTATTTTTTCCTTGTCCATCTTATCTTCCATAGCTTGTCGCTCTTCAGGTGGGACAGGACATCCCTGAGAGGCCATATTGCTGGGAGTTGAGGCCGCAGCTCCCATGTTGAAGTCAGATAAGCTTAGTTATAAACGATTGTATTGAATGCAGATTGTAGTCTCTTGTGAATAGCTGCCATACAGCAGAATATATATATTTGAATTTGAATAGTACTCTCACTATCCACATAAATATTACCATTTACGCGACTCTATCGGCGGCCACGGGCCGGCATTGAGTGATATTGGCTGACACAAAAAAAAATATGTTAAAATTATTAAACCTCGTGTCCTGTCCTGTTGAAACCTTGAAGGACCGTCAAAAATGGTTGCTTCACTCTTGTTTTGGGCTGTGCTTTGTAGTCTGTGCTCAGTCTCACTGCCCAGTCTCCTGTTTAACTTCTTCCACTTTCCATTCCCTACTATGTTTTATCTCCTATACTCTAGTAGAATGAGCAAAATAGTCGGACACGCACAAGAGGAAAATCAGGAAAACTTGCGAACTGGCTACTGTACAGGGCCACTAATTAGAATACATATCCGCAGTCTCACACTACTGGGCTGTGTGCTTCCGCCTTCCGGTAAATATTTTTGGGAAGCTTGTCCATTAACTTTTCCAATGGCGCCCGATGGTGTTGTTTTCTGCTTCTCTTTGTATATAGCGGTATAATACACATAAATAAGAAGCACCTCTCAGATTATGGCCACTCTCTTTACACCGCTGAACGTCCGCATCAAAAATTGAGCAGAATTCGAATAATTGAGCAGAATTCATTATAGTCTTCAATCGTGACAGGAGATCTACTTTATTATTTGCACTGCTTTTGTTTTAATTTGTATTTGTAAGCGAAGTTTAATCAATCTGTGTTCCCTGTTTTATTGGGCGCGAGTCAACCCCTGAAGGCCTGAAAACCCCGATGCTGAGTACTTCAATGCGATGATACCACCCTCAAATCGTCCACTTTGCTGTACAGAAATTGTGAATGAGCCTAGATTGTCGACCGTATAAAGCAGGGCACGAGCTAACAGTAAACAGACGCCTAAGTGTTATCTCTAGCCTTTGGCTTGTGAACATGGGAATTGTTTTGTGTGTTCAAACTACAAAGAGGCTTTTTTTTTCCGGTCCATCAGCCTAGGCAGCTTAGGATACAGCTTAGTAGGCTTAGTAAAAGTATAGACACACAAAGAATACAGCTTACCCGTGTCCCTTGTCAAAAAAATTCACGAAAACAAACATTCTATAACAAGAGCTAGAATGAATCAACAGCCTTAAATTATTGTAAACGTTGCTTGTTTCTCATGTTAAGTTTATATGGTTGATTCCACTACACTCCTACGATAGTTGTTAGCGTTGCATTTCGACCACATCTATTTTTGAAGACATTCATTAATGTCAAAATTTGGTTCTAACGCTATACCAGGCATATAAGAAAAGAGAAACCTATTCAATATAAATTTGACGGGCAAGGGCTTAAAAGGCCGAAACTGTGAGGTATCAAAGTACAATGCAATGCTCAATCACAAGACGTGAATCAAATTCAGACTATTTCTTAGCATAGGGATCACGTACACACCAAACCTAAGTCTAGAAAACTAAAGACAACCCAAACTTAAAGAGCAAGTCAGCGCACGGCGTACCAATGCGACAAATTCATTCAAGCCATCTAGCGAAAAAAAAAAAGATAGAGGAACAAACCAATTTTGCATCGCATGTATGAATGCTCGATAGTTGAAGGTACTATCCTAGCTATACAACACTATAAGTGACGAAGAAGACTTGAACGACCCAATTTTAGACGACGCTTTATTTTGCACAACTCTAAATAAACAGCCAGAAGCCAGATCAACACACACATCTCCGCTTGATGGTGCGATTAGACATACCTACAAGTGGGAATGACAATGTTTGTGTGAAGTTGTCAGTGAAAACGCAAATAATAAGGAAGTACAAAAAAAAATGAATCCAAAAAGGTAGCTCAGTATCAGGTAAAATGATATCAGTACGATACAGATACATTCTGTCGTTCACAAAAGCAGTAGTTTGTCCTCATAGCTACAATCAATAGGATATAATATAGAATAGAATAGTATGCCGACCTATAACAGCGGAACATGTCCTTCCAAAGCTTGCCATACAGATATATACATACCATTCAAACTACTTTCAAAACAGCCCCTCCTCCACTTCCTCGACTATTGACGAACTGAACTTGTGTGCATACGAGGCTGGTTGTAATATATACTTTTCTCTGCTGGGTTCTCAAACCTCACCGGCTCATGATCACCCCTTGCTACTCTCGCAGGACTCGCAGACTCGCGTCTCGCGGTCCCTCGTGCCTCGTGGTCTCTCTTCTGTTGTTTCGAGTGATTTCGACTGATCAGTGATCAGACGTCGGTATTGGTCGAAAGCAAAAAAAATCTTAGTACCGAACAGGAAATGTATAAATGCGCGCCAAAATCAGAAGCAAATTTTAACCAATTTTTAAAAAAAGCATGTGTACGTCCATTTGTAAATACTATTTACATATGCCGGATAGCGCTCTCTGAATTAATGAATCAATTAGATATCATACAGGGTTTTAGAATGGCGAAAAAGAAATAGAACGTTCTCGTAGAATAGTATAGAGGAGTACTCTGAGAACCCTTACACGAAAGCCATCTGCTGAACTAGTTTGTGTTTATGACATAAGACTTTAATACACAGTAACATTAGCAGCTGCGCAGCAGTACTAAAAACTACCTGCCTTGGTATTTCATAGCTTCAAAAGTTCAAAACTGATCCAATGAAAGGCGGTAAGCACAATAAGGGTCACAAAGGGCTGCCACACGGTAAACGTCGGGCTGCCTTGGCCACCTCGCTATTCCCAAACGTGAACAATGGAGCTGCATTCCTGTCGGCCTGGGAAGCGCGACAGCCATGCTATATGGAATCATGCGCTTTGGCTGTTAGTTTGAAAGACATCACAGCGGACAACATAATCACATCTACATGCGGTGCTGCAAAGGAGTGCGCTTATGGGCGAGATGTGGTCCACACACAATCTCAATCGCTTGCGATGAGCAAACGCATCTACGAATGGCACGGGTATGGTATATGAACAATGTGTGTGCATCTTCGTTTAAGACTCTTTATACAGGTTATAGGTTTTTGTTGTTCTGTTTAATCATGGAATTTAGTGGCTGAATAATTATATTTTTCGATGCCGGCTATTCTAGCGATATTCTAGCAACCTTACTCGGATGATGATAAAAGGCATTGCAACCACATAAAAAGTGTTATCTCCAGCATAGACCGTTCGTGTGTGTGTGTCCCCGATTGCATGCGGATGATGGTGAAAGGCACTTTAACCACATAAAAAGTGTTATTTGCAGCATAGACCGTTCGTGTGTATCCTCGATTTTATGCGGATGATGATAAAAGGCATTTAAACCACATAAAAAGTGTTGTTTGTGGCATAGACTGTTCGTGAGTGTCCCCGATTGTATGCGGATTGTGGTAAAAGGCATTTTAATCACATAAAAAAAGTGTTATTTACAGTACAGACCGTTCGTGTGTGTATCCTCGATTGCATGGGGATGATGATAAAAAGCATTTTAGCGACGTGAAAAGTGTTATTTGCAGCATAGACCGTTCGTGTGTGTGTCACCGATTGCATGCGGATGATGGTAAACGGCATTTTAACCACATAAAAGGTGTTCTTTGCGGCATACTGTTGGTATGTGTCCCCGATATATGCGTGTATGGACGTCTGTTCTCACTTGCAGGCAAGCTTAAAACTATGTCATGCGCGTGTTCTAGTATGAAGTGCCGATCGAGTCTAAAGTCATGCACTTGTTTTTCAATACAACTTGCTGCGAGCCAACGTACACACATGTATACAAGTACAGATATTGATGCCACCACTCTATTTACATGCCTTGTGTACATTACAACGAGACTGCTACGTCCCATCCTAGCTTGCAAATCGTGGAAACTAATATCTACAGTGGATCAATTGTAGGGGTTCGTCTTTCTTTACTCTTTACAGTACGTCTGTTATCAGTCTTAATATAGTAGCAACTGACATGTATCATATATCATCAGAGTGTAGGTATTAATTTGCAGCGCCTGCGAACGTCTGTGCACATGTTTTTATGTTGTTGCTTGGCAGCAACCACAAACAGCAATTTTAGACATTGTTACATTCGTAAATTTCCTCGTGCTCTAGACTGAGCCTGAGTATCTACATCGATTATTGACATTACCACACTGGTTTGTACGGCCTCCTTGGTGAATCTTGGCAACTAGAAATCTTTACGCGCAATAGTTGTTATATCATATTATCTCTCAGACACTTGAACCACGCAACGCGCAAGCTCTCAAAAATCATACAGGCACTGCAGTGCACGTTGCATAATTACAATCCGATGATATCCGCAAACTAATGTTCTACGTTCACGCTCACCACACAGAGACCTACACGGCTCAGTGAGTGACATACGCCTGCAAGAACTCATCTCACCAACCAAGGGGGCTGGTAATAGCGTGCGTTTCCTGAGACAGGAGATGCGGGCACCACTCATCGCACTCGCAAAGGCTGTGGACACCTTCTGGAAGGGTGAGGGCGGAGTGAGTGTGTGTGTGGATGTGGTCACACACGATGCCCTGTTTGCGCCACCCTCGCTGTACTCCACGGATACCCTCCTGATACAGACAGAGGGCTCGTTGCATGTGCAATTGATTGATGTCGCAGACGAGTGGCTGGCCATTGGTCAGGTGAGTCCTTTGGAGCTTAAAATGTGCTTGTAGTCCTCATCTTCTCCAAAGCTATCCTGTTATACAGATGGATTGTTGAATCATTCAGTAATAATTGTAGCTTTTGTCACGATTCTGTATCTATCTGGAATTGGAAGTACAGTCTAGAGTACTGAAAGTATAATCGAAAGTAAATATGTTTTATTTTTGATACCCTTAATTCACTGTCCTCCAACGATCGTAGCTTCTTATTCAGTAAACTCGATAAGTTCTCTAGCTAAGTGACTTTTCCTGTGAGTATTCACCGTCGTGTGCGCACTTGGGACTAAGATGCTCATTGATTCACTGTATAGACCTCCTGCTTCATACTAACGTACACTTTACCGCTTGATTTCCGCAGCACTGTGCGTACAAATCCCATCGCCCTTGCAGCCAATTCCCCACCCTCTTCACGACAGAAGGCACTATTTTGGTGGATGCTGAGGAGCCCAAAATCGTCCAAGACTTGATCCTAAACCCCGGCGATGTCCTCTACGTGCCGCAACACTTAATTGTGTTTGCAGACACTCAACACGAGGAGTGCGATATTAAGGAAGGTGTATCCACGACAGCGTCAGTGGCACTACCGTCACAACCTGTATGGTCCGATGTAGTAGACGCAAGCGTTATGGGTGCTTTGGAGGTTCTGGGACACGATCCAGATTCGCGGTTGTTCCCGAGGCGGAAAGTGACGGATGTGGGACTTACGCTGACACAGAGCATGGGCGAGGAGGTGGGGTTTCTAGATTTAGTTGCTGTTACTTTCGCAGATTGTGCTTTTGTAATTCTCATGCATGTTGACACACCGCAAACATTCATTAGAAATATATTCCTATACAATATACCATGTTAAAATATCTAATTGCGTGTTTCGTTGACTATTTTAGGGTACTGTGGCGAACAGCATTGTCAAGGAAGTGCTCCAGACGGCTTTAGAACTGGCCAATACCACGCTCAAGCATATGGAGTCGAGGTGTGCGTATACGCATACAGATTTTGACAACAGTGACCGCTTCAAAAAGTATGTTGCATAAATGGCCGCGTGCGATCCTCAGAGTCTGTGGATCAACGCTTGCGATTTTAAGATAGTTTAGTTACTTGTATTTTGTGGCCTTTTTCATATTGTGTTGGTTTGTTGTACGTGTTAACAAAGTACACGCAGTGAATGTGAACGCACCTGCCATGTTGTTTTATTGCTTATAACGAGGTTATGTATATGAGGGTTTTTGATCGGTCAGACTTGGGACTAGCATATATGAAGCACTCTCTATGGGATGTTTCGTACTACGATGCTTCTACAAGCAAGTGAATGTGTATTGGCTATATCAATTGATGAGTCAGTCTATGCGCTAAGCTCGTGCTCGGTATATATATATGTATGTATGTCATATGTATATTTATGTACATGTGTATGTATATATATATATGCTACTCTATACCTGTTTTTTTTTTGGCATTTCATTCTCTTGCTCTTGCTCTTTCCCGGGAGCTAACTGTCTTTCTCGCTGTCCCATCTTTAACCGTGCAGAATGGACATACACGCACTGCTTGAGGAGAACGATGGTATCGTGAAGATACCCAATGTACTACCCAAGGAAATGGCGGACAAGGTGCTGCATACACTGCAGAATATCAGTGAGGCTGAATGGCACCTGGCAGAGAATGGCTCGGCCGACAAGAATTACGCCACCGAGGTGTCGCACGCGTTCATGTCCGCACGCTCCTTCCCGAATAGTGACTTTGTAAGTATAATACGTTTCATGCGATGAGCAAATTTATTGCATTTTCAATGTTGTGTCATTTCTTAGACTCAACAAATGCATTCTATTTTTGATTTACTCGACGTCTTGGCGGAGAGGGATGAAATTCTAGACAATCTCGCAGATTAAAGATGGCCAATTCCATTTCATGTGCATCTCTCAAAGTACGGAACCCTACTTCTTGATTACTGATGCTATGTCGACTACGTGTTTTGCTGTACAGGTGCTTGACATGTTCCATGATCTGCTACCTCTATCACCCGCGCTTTTCTCCGCCGGGAAGTATACCAAAGGTCACTTCATCGAAGCACACGACGACAGAGCTTACAAAGAGGTGAGCTCCATTCCCAAAGTCCACTCTTCTCCTCTGTTGAGTGCCGTTATTGTCTACATATTAATGTGGATGGTTCTGTGTTCACTACAAACCGTCTTATGAAATTATCACATGCATATATTTATATATAAATATGGGGGATGTATGTATATATATATATGGGTGTGAATATGTATGTATGTATGTCTTGTCGTCATACCTGCTTTTATAATACACATGACTACACTTCAATATTTACAAGCGCGTATGATATACTGCTGTTTCAAATTATAGTTGTATTATATATCGGCGGCTATCTGTATGTTATTTGGTAGAATAGCAATACAATCATGTATTTGTCATCGTGTAATGTAGAATTCACTCTCGTCATCATCAATTGATTCTCTAGTTTTACTAGTATTTCCGCAATTTTTTTCATCTCATTTGTTTGAATTTCTATTGCAAATGCTAGATTGGAGGTGAAACCTACTCACGAGACATCGCATGCATATACTACCTGACGAAAGACTGGTCCGAAAAGGACGGTGGTGCGCTCCTGGATATGGAAAGCAAGATAGCACATATCCCAGAGTTCAACTCTATGATCATCTTTCAGGTGCCCCGGTGGCACGAAGTCCAGCCCATGGTCTCTGATCGAGAGAGGTAGGTGTCTTTCGGTTACGGCAGCGTTAGTTTTTCTGGGTTCTTGTGTCTATCTAAAATTGCATATACCGGTGGCGATAAAATGTCACTAGACTCTGCTATCAGACTAGATCCCTGTAATTTCTGCGATCCTGTTTGTTGAACTAAGACGCAATTCGGAAGGTACGTGAATGCCCCAATAAACAAATAGATCCAACGCGCAGACTATGCGCGGTGTCCATCACTAATACTCCTTTCTCAAATTGTATTTCAGATTCTCGATATTTGGTTGGTTCTTAAATCCCGGTAAGCAATACCCTCTCACTGACGATGTAGAACTTGAAGAACAACTGGACGGGGTACCGCTGCGTGCAACGAAGCGCAGCAGGCGTTCGGGCTGGAGCGTTGAGACACTAAAAACATAAGGCATATTTGCGAAAGTAGACAACTATGCACCGGCGTGCCCGGCCATGCCAAAGTATATAAGCGTTGTACACAGATATGACGACTGGAGTTGAATGCGTATCTTACCGAGCGCCACCAGAAAGTTTTTCAAGGGTGAAGGAAGAGCGCAAACTTCACATGTAATGAATATAAATTTCTACAACTGTCCATGTTGTACATGGACCTCCCAGATAACCGAAGATAACCCTCCCAGATAACCGAGTACTAGGCGAAGTGGATACTTGCCGCCCATAAGCGCTGTAGCGTTTGTCTGGTCATTATTTGGAATAGTTTAGATTTGAAATGCCTTGACTATAGACCACCTGTAGATTACTAAAATCAATTTGTTTTATTTTACGCTATACACTAAATGTGACCTCGTTGTGATCTCTGCACAGACTGAGTGTGTTCGCTGCAATCCACACTAACCGCACATCCTCATCCAGCACCTTCTGGTCGCAAGCGGGTACCTATAGACGGGTGTTAGGGTTAATTATGGAGAAAAAAATCAAAGCCGAGACTATTTCTGCTCCTCGAGAGGAGAGCAGTTGTTTTTAAAACAGATCCACACATTAAGATGCTATTTGTGTTGAAAAAAAAACAAGTTTACGACAACATGTCAACAATAAAAACCTTTCCGAGTATGGCGACATTGATATCCACAGGCATTGTAAGTAGCAACTTTGAAAACCAGCATTAATACTTGCCCTGGAAAATACTTGCCGAAGGACAAGGGTGACAAACGACCATACTAATCCATAGCCAAATTAGTGAAATTCACTCACCAACTATCATAGAAATACCCTAACTGCCGAAAACACCAACGTGTTTCTGTGCGAGCCTTTTTGTCTGTGGCCAATACATTGCAACATACAACTCCTCCATAATCTAACATTTGGTACCATCACCCGCTAACCATCCTTACGTTTTCTCTGATAAACCTTCAGTATCCCTTAGATTGCTCGTTACCTTGTGTGTGCTGATACATCTGATGGTGTTGGTCAAAATGTTGAATATGGACATGTTCGTCTGCCAGAACTTGAGAGAGAGGTCACGTGCACTGTACGAGGCCAGCACTCGCCCATCGTTGGAGAAAGCAACGGCCGTTACCTCATTCTGCTTGGTATCGATGTCCTGCCAACCATATATGAAGTATTTGCGATGAGCACGCAAAATGCGTTCAGTGACGATTTTCAATGTATGTAGAGTTCGGTTTGTGATGCTAATAATATTCACGATTTATAAACTTATAAAACACATATATAGAAATCTGCACTATCGTAGGTGCGGCCATATATACGACTAGTTCCACATAAATACAGAATTGTAAAGCAAACACATATTTACATACATGTATACGTGTATATATGAGGGTATCTCTGCATAGCATTTGCAGTTATCACACCCGGGTATGTACTGCACTAATCACTGTAGGTTCACCAACCACAACCTAAGACTTCGAATAGGGTTCCAAAATGTTCGTTGCAGGTCTGCATCAACTACTAAGTACCAAAGACCTCAAATAATCGGAGGATAAGAAGCGTTTACCGAGTGCTAACGACAGCAATGCCCGTTGAACGCGTGCGTATTGCACAGGGGATTAATAAACACTCCCGGAAACGCTCGCAAATTGGTACTCCAAGTATGACAGCCTCAACACAAAAAGGTGTGTGCACCAGCAGCCCCACACACACATGCCGTATTGTATCCATATCGAGCACCGTACAACTGTAACTATAGCAAGTGAACGTGCTCCAACAAATCTTAATTCTCTTCCTCCACGTACCTGCCACCGCCGCGCGGTCTTTAGATCGTATAGTACCACTAATCCCGACGACGAGCCTACTGCTAACTTCTGTGACGGCGCATGGAAGCTGACCATGAGATAGCGTTTGACGATTTCTTGCAGGGTCTTGGTGCTGCCCTCCAGGCAATTGTCGCGCAACTGTGGGACGTGTGGATCCAGAGAACGAACGACCAGATCGACGAGCCTGAAGGGGGGGATGGGCATGGTGAGGGCGTATGCGCTGGGTATGTGCATCAGATTTTGTGAGTGTCATCTCCGTTCAAAGTACGTGTGATTATAACGTGTTGAATGATGGTGCAATTAGAAGATGGACAACTGCATAACGGATAATTCGAACATGCATCCGATGTGGTGAGCGCCATCTTGGTGTACGTGCGGTTGTTGCGTGTGCCTTTGATAGTGCGTTCGTATAGCAGTGTGCACATTTGAGCTATGATCGCAGTTGTAGCAGTGTAGCGGTGCAATCGGTTCAAGTTGATACGCGTGTGCAACTATGATTGCGTTGGCTAAGTGGTGTAAATGAATCGTTGCCATGGAAACGCACCAGAATGACAACCGCAATGCAAGCATCTCGTGCACCTCTTCCGCCATGATCAATTACATACAAGGAAGAGCACACGCCCACAAGCGTACACACGCGCAGCATTCAATATCTCCCACATCTATGCAAGTACTGGTGTGCTGTATAACTCTCTAGCGCTCTGGTAGTCAGCACTCACCTAGGCACCTGCTCGCCGAAAACATCGGGGATCTCCCTCACGAGGTTGAGCACAACGTTCATCGCGTGGATGCGTGATGGTACGGACTGTGATTTCACGAAGAAGTTACTGATCGTGGTCACCAGCACTCGCGGCGCATTCGTTGCAACTTTCTTCAGCACGCCTAGACAGCGTTTGGGTGACAAGTGTGGGTCAAATACATAAACAGGTAAGCAGGTGACGATCCAATACACCCATGGAAGATCTACTATAATCATAACGAGGGGATTGATTGGGATGTACTGGTCACGAGACCAAGCGGATGAATTGCAAACTACTGAGGCGAATTGGGATATCCGTTTCAATAACAACGCGCTGCAGTGGGTGACTGTCCTGGTGGTTCACCAAATAATCGCTAAGTTCAGTTGATATGGTGATAATTTTCCAAGTGCAGAGAGAACAGAATAGTAATAAGCACTTTATGGCTTATCAAAGTACCACTTGTACACTCAATGCACCCTTTTCAACCTCAATCTTGATCAAAACACAGCCCTGCATAGCGGACATATGTATACACACACCCGAAAGCGATCCGGAGGAAAACAATACCCACCGAAGTACATGGCCCTCCCCTTTATGGCATTGGTGGATGATTTGACCACCGGCCCAGTTACAGCCAACAGCTGCAACACCAGACGAGGCACGTCCAGGTGCTCCATCCATGTGCTGAATCCCTCGCCCAGCAATTCCGCAGCCGCCGTTGTCCTTCGCCCGTCGAACTTCTTTCCCGCTGCCTGCGGGTCTGTTGTGTGACACATGGGTTAACGTATTGGGAGGTATACAAATATTGAGTAGCACATCAGCGTGAAATCTAACATTGGTTTCGCGGGTGAGTATGCCAATGCGGGGGCTGTTCTGCACCGATAGGATGGCTCGATAGAATTCGCACTGGGAAAGTTGAACCCCTAAAACAGCTAAGAGCAAGACTGACGCGCCTATATCAATACCAAGATCAAAGTATATTCTAGTGCGCACAGGACGATCGCAGAACGGCGATATAATTGATAGTTTGCGTTGCTGTTGTCCTGTTCCAAAGTATATTAGCAGTAAAGCCGTCATTTCAATTGTGTTTTGAACATGAAATGGTCCAATCTGTTCCCATACTAAAACATTTCATAGAAGACACCACTGATTACTGATTGCCCCACCATGACTTTCTTCGAAACAATTTTATCGTATTGATCGCACCGCTTTCCAATTCATTAGGAGATATATGACCACAACGAAGCGACAACAGTTACAGACCCGGTACTTTAGTGTTATACATGCTAATCCCTAAGCCCACCTTTCGATATGCAACTGCCCTTACGCTACAAAATTCAACAAAATGCGTGTAACAAAAGGGCTCATCCAGTCACGAGAAACGACAGTCCGACTCCGCCACGACAGCTACAATTGTTCAACGTAACGGATACTCTCCACTTTTACAGCAATAAACATGTTTTTCATGGAACCATACCGCGCCACTTTCACAGCCACATTGAGAATCCAACAAAACACGGAATTTGCAAGCTTCTCTACAACTTGAAATAAGTGAAACAGCGCAACATCCTCAGAAATAGGAGGTACGAGCTTCTATGCAGACATGGAATGTACAAGAACTGAGGAGAACCCCGAGTCTGAACACTTCTCGGCGTACCGGTTTTGCTTTTGTTGTTGAAGCGGTCCGCCGGCCTGCCATTCTGCTCCAGCGCGGCCAAGCACAACTGCCCCGCCACTTTGGCCGTTAGCTCGGGCGATAGCGCCGACGGATACCTCGACCCAATCAGCCCCAGCACCAGTACAGCCATCCGGTCGTGTGGCGAGTCGTACATGTCGTTCTCGTTGACATTGCGCTGGTGTTGTGTGGCGCTGGTCAATTTACTGGCCGTCCTGCCAGCCTCCGTGGGGGGATCTGTGTCGCCTGGCGCGTGGTGTGCACCCGGATGCGGAGACACCCGCTCGCCCGTGGGGGTGTGTGCCGCGGGCTTGATGTCTGGCTGGCTCTGTAGGTACACCTCCCACTTGCACACCTCTTCGTCGATCATCGCATCGCTCATGGCGGCCAGGTACGCGTCCACCAACTGGTGTATGGGGCGCGACATCGACGTGCCCTTCCAGAAGTCCGTGAGGATGCCCAGGGTGGGTGGGACAAACGGCAGTTTGCCAGTCACGGGATCCGCTGCAGTGGGGAATGAGATGCGTGCGGATTTGTAGTCTATGAAAATACTATTGCGGTACGGCGTGATTTTTGTTCGACGCACGCCAACAAGACATGAAATGAATTTGCCTATGTGAGACTCCTATACGAGATTGACTAGTGCTTGAGAAATACATGAGGTATGTAGGTTATAGATATGCTATGGATAATTATGGCATTAGCGCTATGACACGAATATAGCGATGTTGCTTGGCATGTGACTTGGGCAGGCATTCGTAATGACTAAGTGCGAGTCCAATGAAAAAAGTAAAATGCAATTCTCCCGTTGTACGTTGTATTAAAATGTCTTCAGTATATGAAAACTTGAAAACGCTGAAATCCGCAAGCCACATTCGCAAGTACACTCAGAACCACGCTCGCTCAAACATCAACGTTCAGATTTCGAAACCGATGCGCAATTTAAGAACCACCGACGGTACCACGGGTGGCGAGAAGTGCAAAACAACGTACCTGGCAGTTGAGGTAAAGTGACGGTAAACAACGTGCACAGCAGACGCGTAGCAATGGGGTGCTCCCAGTAGGTGAGTGATATAGCACAGGCCATCTGCACGCCGGTTAGGTGTCCACTCATGCGCCATGGGTCGGTGGGACGAGTACTTCCAGCCATGAGCGATGAGATGTGTCCGTTGCGGCCCAGGACGGCGTGTGATGGCTGCAGATACAGTAGAGATGCAAGAGGAATGGACGGCTTTGTGCGTCAGGATATGTCCGCGTGGATGACACAGATATGCTGGATATAGTGGGATAGTGTCCAGGATATGCATGGGCCGCTGACTGACTGTGCGTGAACAGAGACGAGACATGGCAGTGCCCCGTGCGAAGAAAACGGATGCACGCAGTCGGCAGTGGCCTGTCATTATTCACAGATAACACAGATCACAATACGTTCACAGGTACATCGATGCCTCCACAATAGCAGCGAAGTTGTCACCATAAACGTATCACCGTAAGCAAGGTAGTCGACGCCAAAAATCACCGTACTTACCTCTTTAGGGATTTTGACATGGAGGATTTTCGACAGCTGTTGGTCGATGTCGGGCCGGAAGCCCCACGGCATGACGTAGGGCATGAGCATCTTCAACAAGCCCTTGCACACATCTGTATCTCGATCGCCCGACTTTAGCAGCGATACGATCTACGGGAAACCCAAAGTGAAAGAAGAGATATTGAGTAGCTGAGGTTTTGAAATATAAATACAAACGCTCCAGAGACACAGCCCCTTTCTAGACCGAGAATTCCAGACCGAGAAGCATACATTCTCCATAGTGGTCATGGCTATTAATATCTCAGGGTTAGACGGTAGGTGGGATAGCACCGCAAACCAGAGAGACTACATTGTAGAAAGAAAGATCACATGCAACAACTGCTTAACACACCAGTGCACTCACTACCAATGACAACGGCAAGCTTCCCATACCCACCTTCTTGACGTCGAACAGCACAACCTCTAGTGGTGAGTCTGCATGGCTCAATCCAGTCCTCTGCAGTTTCACCAGTGCCACATTCTTGGCCTGGGCATTGGTTGGACTACACGTGAGGGCTGTCGTGAGTGTCTTGAGGTTCCCGTACCCATTGCCCGATGTGACGGTGTCGTCTCCGTATCGCTTCCACACCACATCACGTGCGGATGCTTGGCTCTCCCAGTTTGCCAGTATGCCTTCGGCCAATTTGCCTTGGGCGACTCTGTGGTATGGTAAGGGCTCATGCTATCAGCATTCAGCATTGGTGACAATGCATCTCTAGTCGTCCGTGCTGCAGGCTATGTGTTGCACACCACGTGGTAGACAAGTGGCGTCCGTCTCAAGTAGGTATACGAGATACCCGCGTTATCGCTATAGGCTTCATACATATGCTCTTGCTTACACTCGTATCTGTACAGAACAATAAACACTGGCCTGCGACGCTCCAGACGCACAGAACACTTTGGTAACAACGTATCAACGGACAAAGCGTACACGTACATCGTATCATCAGGAGCGGTTTTCGACAGTTCGACTGTCCAGAGTGGCGTGGCGTGTGGCGATTAGACAAGCGTAGTGTAGTCTGTTCTGTGTCAAAAGCCAGTGCCCATCCTACCTACCTGTCCAAATGGCCGGTACCCAGCTGCCAGACATATATGGTGCCGTCTATGCAGTCCACGACAAAGTAGTCGTCATCGTAACGCCATTGCACCGACCGCACAGGGAACATGTGGCCACCCATGCTGTGCAAGCACCTCATATCATCCAGTGAGTATATGCCTACGTTGTGATCGCCGGCAAGCTGTGGACGAGAGGTTGGATTAAGGCAGTGTGTTGGTGTTGGTGGCCCATTGGCTATAATATTATGCTCGGTGTATTTTGGTCCCCAGAACAATGGTGTGGCATGTTGGGCATAGATCGACGCTCGCCAGTAGTCGCGTGGTGAAGCGAGCAACAGAGGATCGATCTGTGGCGACGATTGCCGAAGTAGATGAACATGTAACAACACTTAAGAATGGATGGCGCTCACCTGCACACTAAATGCACGTAGGCTTATTGGCATAGGCAAAGACAAAAATATATAACTGCCTACACACAACTTACAGAACATATACAGTTCGTCGACCGCGACACTTCCCGTCCGGAAAACGGTATCAACCTCGCAATGGGAGCGCAGTGGTTGTGGAACACATGAATTGCTTCGCCTGATCAGCGCGACGATGGGTTAAATCATGTTAGTCCCATGCAAAGCTTTCCTATTTTATTCGCAGGAAATGTTATCAAGCGCAGGGTATAACGCCTGATGTACTAACGTCATATTGGGATAGCCAATTACAGCCCACACATAATCAACGAGCTGTTTCCACGACACAATCGCACACATACCTGTTGATACATTCCACACACGAATGGTGAAATCGTCTGATCCCGATATGAGATGGTGGGCTGAGAAATTGTTGTCGACATCGTGTGGATACAGCAAACACGTGACAGCCCCGGTATGGCCGGTCATCAGTATTGGGTCGCTCGCCTTTTGCGGCGTGTAATCTTCTGATGACTTTACGATCACTGAGGGAACGTAGAAAACAGTCGTGGCGAAAGGCATGTTAGATAACAACTCACAACCAGTTCAGTCAAAGCTGCCTATAGAAGGCAAACGTCAGATGTATGGAGAATTCAATTGGCTACGATTCTGAGCCATATCAAACACAAAGCTCTTCTACCGAGTACGTAACGACACGACTCAATGCGATGTTGGTCGCCAGATTTCTCGACAGCAATGAGCACATCGCATAGCGCAACAAGTCGAGAACCATGACCCCAAAACCCCATGCTCTCGGCCGGAATGTCACGAGAACATAAACTGCAGCATATAGTGCTGAGACTTACTCCATGTTAATAGTTTACGATAATGATATTGCATGTATACTCATAAAGCATCTTCATTCAAGTGGCTTTAGAGATTCAGCAACCCATCACCCGAGGCCTACAAACATGCTCATGTCGCACAACATACCTATACCGCCCCCTGTTGCGTGCGGACTGACTTTCGGCAGATGTTTGGTTGTCTGACATTCGTTGCTCAAAACCCTCTCGAGCTCTGCCATTAGCTCGCACAGAACAATTACACCCGATGCATAACCTCTGGCCATGTAGATATTCTTAATAATTGCAGAGGCAGTAACATCGCCATAACTGTGTGAAAGCGAAGTATTTGTTCTGAATATATGTATGAGGGTGTTTTTGCAGCCAACTTCTCCCGGGCTTCTTAAGAAGGATGAGTGTTTAATATGCTAGCGTGTGGGTCTCGATTAAGAAGGAAAGAGACGAGCGATCCTTGCAGGGTTTTCCAACTTGCATGCCTGTGTGCATACGTGGTTGCTGCTATTGTCCCGCGCAACGCAAAGTAACACACACACACGCGTTCCACAAACCCAGCGATTCATTCACTCCGCAAAAACTACGCCTAGTATCGATCCTTTCACATCGCATGACGCACACCAGTCACCTGTGAACTCAAGACGCAGAAATACCACTGCATCGCTCTCCAACGCTTCACACACACACCCTTGCGCCAACAATCAATTGCCACATATACGCCAACTGGCCAAAAATCTATCCTACGAACACGCATACGATGTTCAACTCAACATTGAAAACTCTATTCGCTCACTACTTGCCCATTGTCTGTTTCTTCGCCGGCATCCCACTTATCCCTAAAATCGTAGGAAGCGCAATTCGAAATGATCTCTAAGTCTCCCTTGGCCGCTTCCGTGTTGGATAATTCAAGCAAGTCATAGCTGTCGGCAGACTTGAAGGGTATTGAGCTGGCATCGATACCTTGTGATATTAGCGTGAGATTATACTGAATTAAGAATATGCCTAACTCAAGTGAACGATAACCAGACATCTTCGCCAGGTTTAATATGCAGAAAGAATCCCTTACTAATCACGTACGCACACCTCACGGACTATCAACGAACATTCATACTACCGCAATACTTTACGAACAGACTCTCGTTCAGATGCCTGTGTGTACAAGATTTGGATTCACTAGTGGTCAAGAGTTTGGACCACATGCGCAAACAAGTGCCACTTTAGAGACTGACTATAGTAGAGGCCGGTACACCGCGGCAAGTCGAATACACTCGTATCCGCATTGGTACAGTCGAAAGTACAACCACGAGTGTGCGTCCGTTGAAGCTTCACATAGGCACACCTCGATTCTACAGCCAGTATAGTGCTCACATTCTCAACTAATGAAGAGTATCAAGGTAGGCTTATTTACCTGTCGCTGGGACTGATCTCTGTGATTTTGGATATAGGTACGGGGAAGACGCCTGCATCTTGTCGGAAACGTCCCACACGCGCAGAACTCCAAAATCGTCGCCAGATACAATCAGGTGACTAGGGAATGCCGATGAAACGGCGGGTCGCGCTGGCCCGTCCGCAGTTGTATCTGCACATTGCACGTGGCTGTCAGTGTATTGCTTGCTGACGACTACCAAGAGTTACAATAATCTGTTTAATATATTGATATATATCCGTAATTTTGCGTGTGCTATTATGTATATGCCATTAAGTGTGAATTTCGTTTGAAAGATTGCGGAGGGAATGCATTAGATGTGAGACTAGTATGGAGATACGTATGTGGTGCTCTTATATCATATTCCATGAGCGTAAAGATATATAATGCGCATGTTATCAACCTTGTGCATATGACTCCAATCAGGTATATAATTTAGACACATAAACGTACTCTAACAAAGTATACAGTTTAAACATATAAACATTCGTAAATAAAATTTGACAATTCATAAAAACATAAAAGTACTCAAATAAAGTACCAATTTTGTACACGCAAACGAACTCTGATAAAGTATCCAAATTATACACACATAAACATACTTAAGTGCATCAAAATGAATGCATTATGGAAATTGCTCACCATACCTAGAGCCGTGCAACCCCTTCAAATTGACAACCTTATCCCTGAGCTAAGCCCAGCCTTGAATGAAAACAATTTCAAGTACACTTAGGACAACAAACTATCGCATATGTATCAGAACGAGGCCTATTATCAACCAGTGTTTCCTACCAGGGCCGGCATAAAGAGAGACGGGGTTGAATCCTCGCACTCGCCCACCCGCAGACAGCACCAGATTCCTTATCCGTTCCGTTGGACCACGTTTAGCTGATCTCTCACTGGCCTCCGTTTGTTTAGTATCATCGCTTTCCTTATCCCCTAACACACTCGTGCCTCCATTCTCTGCACGTGTTGGCACTGGTGAGTGTGTGAAAGGGGTGGGTTGTGTCTTGGCACAGGGAGTGGCGGCCGTGTATACGCACACCAGACTTGCCATCTGCTGATTGAAGTCAGTTTGCGGCAAATCTGGGAACACTTGGAAAGAATCGGACTTCTTTAGCTCCAAGTGTCTTGACTGGGCAGTCTCGACATCGGTGGGGTCCGAAGGCGATTTCGTGGTCGCTGAATACGATGGCCTACCCTGTGTGGCACACAACCAGTCAATGATAGTATTGAGTCCACCGAACGTAACATCATATGCGTAAATACCCGGTGGCGCTTAGTTAGAAATAGAATACACAGGCATGACCTGGTATGCCAATCATGTGCTGGACAGGCATAGATCATTATGACCGCTCAGCCATAAAGCATACGCTCACTAAAGTTAACATGTACCACTCGACTTTTCAGCCTGCACGATTGAGGTGAAGCATACGCTCGGCAGTGTAATCTACAAACCCTTTTCCACACTAATCAATAACTGATCTTCGGACTCCTGAATACGCAACAATGAAATATCACGAAAGACACTCAAGACTACCTCGAAAACATTGCATGACGATCAGTGTAGGTTATATGCACACACTACCACTTGTCACCTGGCTTCACATATAGCGAAAGTTAGGTAGATAATCAACAGTTGTCTCGTCATGAGCTAAGAATTAAAGTATTGCAGGTCTCATTTCTTGCCCTGATTTCGTTGTCGTCGCATAGGCCGCCTCATCTTCTCACGAGATAGTCTATCTCCGTGGCTGAGAGCGCGTAGAATACACAACCGAGCACAACCGCGTATTCGATAAGGCAGCACGCACATGACACTGTCACTGCAAGCACTCTCACCTGGAACTCAAACGTCAGCGGTGCATAGGGTTTCTCTGGAAGGCTGAGGGAGTACACATAACAATTGCCTGCTTGTCCGAAGAGTGCGACCAGAGTCGACGACAGAAACTGCGAGCTCTGCCAACGGATGCGTGTGGGAGCCATGATGCGACACAGTAGCTTACATCCTGCCGCGGAGTACAGTAACCAGCACGTGGGCGTGACAATGCTGAAAAGAGACCGACAGAATGGGGAGATGGCAATTGTTTTGGGCTGTCGACAGCCCTCGAGCGGCTGAATCTTCAGCGGCTTCCAGAGGGGATGGTCGTCCACGCTCATGAATGTGGTCTGGTGTAGGGTATTTAGGAGAGTGATCAAAGTGGATGTGTTAAGGTTGGTCCATCCTCAGGATGCGTGTGGACTACAATTGATACATTTGAGCGTGTTTCTGTATAAAACAGCAAGAGAGTACCTTTAATAACGTAACATACAGTATGGAGTTTCACTACGGCTGTGCTTTTTCTGTCAACCCCGCGAAGAGTTCTAAAACACACGATAGACTAGTTTTTATGCCAATAAAATGTCTAACCTTAGTACATATCTATATACACCGCAAGACATTTTAACTGTATGTATTTTGTATGTGTAAACCCGTGGATATAAAGAAGATCATTTTTTCCTACCTCCACAAGTTCCAAAGACCACAGCTTGAAAGTGCCCTCTCCAGTTACAGCCAATAGCGCGTCCGTCTGCACCGGCTCGCCTGACCCGTTAGTGGTATCAATCGCACCCATCCCCACCACACACACAGCCGTAATCCAGTCAGGACGAGCTTCGCTGGTGAGCGTCTTGACAACGTGTAGGGTTGCGGCATCCACGACATACACCATCCCATAGTGTCCGGTACACACTACTTGCTTGCGTGACGTGAGCGTCGTGAGTGTGGATGGTCCACGCGGGAGAGATGTCTCCGTTGCTAAGCAACGGCCATCGGAAAGATCCCACAGGAATAACGTGCCGTCTTCGCTCGCAGACATGACCGCGTCAATCGAATCACCTGCTTGGCGCACACATACGGACACGATGGAAGACACTGATGCTTGGTGACCTGTTGAGATTTGAATCGATCAATAGGCAATAGTGGTGAACATACATGGAATTATAAAGATATATATATGTGTGTGTGTGTGTGTGTGTGTGTGTGTGTGTGTGTGTAGTAGTTAGTTAGTTAGTTAGTTAGTTAGTTAGTTAGTTAGTTAGTTAGTTAGTTAGTTAGTTAGTTAGTTA